ATATATATATATAACATAAATAGATCTCATAAAATGTGATAGTTATAAGAATATCATTGTGCAATTTTTCAAAAAAGAAAAATATTATAGTACTCCTAAAACTAAAACTCGTAATAATTTCTAAACTATCAAATCGTTATTTACACGTGCAACAATCAAATTATTAAAAAATTTAAAAAATACAAAATAATCAGTTTTGATTTTATCATTAGTTTTGATATTTTGATAAACATTTGAAAAACGGATAAAAAGAGTTTATTTTGCATATAGAAATGTTCCAAGAGCAATATATATAATAAACTATATTTTCAAAATAGTTTTAAGAATATTTTTATAATGGTGGCACCCTTATTATTATTATAATTATTACTAGACTTAACAAAAACTAAACCTTGTCCAGTTAGGAGGGCCTTCATGGACTGTTCTGCTGGGCAGAAGAGATGCAACAACTGCAAGCTTCAGCCAGGCAAATACTGATATTCCTGCGCCAACATTAGACCTTAGTGCTCTCATATCAGCTTTTTCGAAAAAAGGCCTCAGCACCAAAGATATGATATCCCTCGCAGGTGATTAATACTGTAGCTTTATATATATATATATTAAGTTCTCTTAGTATTGTTTAACAATGTAGCAGTTATATATTTTTTATGATTCATGTTTCATTAATCTTATCATATCTATATGTATATGCTTTATTTATTAAATAATATTTGTCGGGCATAACCACATGCCCAACCCATGTCTAAGGTATCATGTCCTACTTTATGAAGACAGCATTCTTTGATGTTATAAATTATCTATAAATCATATATTAATACAAAAATATATGAACCATGATAGATAAAAAAGTAAAAATTGCATCTCCAACAATAGATTTTCATTCTCTCTTAAGACTTCATTCATAACTTGGATGAAATATGTTAACATTCACCAAATTAGATAACAGAATAAAACATAATTTAAACATGCATGTAAGGTATCCTAATAATATTTTTTTTTGTTTTAAACAGGTGCACATACAATAGGGCAAGCAAGATGCACTACATTCCGAAGCCGAATCTACAATGAAAGCAACATTAATACTTCATTCTCTTCATTTCAACAGAACAAATGTCCACTCTCTAATGGTGATGATAACCTCTCTCCACTTGATGAAATTAGCCCAAATTATTTCGATAATTTTTATTACAAAAATCTATTGAACAAAAGAGGCCTTCTACATTCTGATCAGCAACTCTATAGTGGAGGCTCCACAGATTCTCAAGTGTTATCTTATGCATATAATCTCTCCAAATTTCTCAGTGATTTCTCAGTTGCAATAGTAAACATGGGCAATATAAGTCCTCTAACTGGAACAGATGGAGAGATCAGGATTAACTGTAGAAGGACCAATTGATTATAAGATGACTATGAAATTAAAAATAATAGTTATGTTGTTTGTGAGTCATAGTGGATGCCAATATGTATTATGTAAGTTTTTTGTGCTTTAGTTTGTCAGTTGAAATGTGTCAAAAGACATTGTAGAATTTTTTTAAGTTGTAATAATAATCATCGATCGTTTGGAATAAAAAATGAAGCGAAATGCTCAAATGTTATGGTGAAGAAATAAATACATCGTAAATGATAAAAATTTTTTGGAATTCAATTTTAAATAATAATAGTTGATAAAATTTTTGGATAATAAAACTGTCAAACGAATCACCGCAAAGAAAGTCAACCTAAAAAAATAAACAGAAATATCAATTAAATAATGAGATGGCATGCCTCATCATTATTTGAATGAATTTCTACGCCATCGAGTGTTAATGGAAGCCAGAGATGTTAACATTAGGAATATTTAAACAAACTTCTATTAAAAGAGACAAGAGTTAATGTCTAGTATTGTTATAGCAACTTTTCCTTCAACTATTCATTATAGGAAAAATTCAAATAATCATTTGTGTTTAAATAAATTCCATAAACATATAGAGTTTTCCAAATCACCAACTATTGATTTGAGACTAAAATTTACTGTTATAGTAAGCTTTCCTCTCAACCTAATATTTTAAAAATTATAAATGTTTTGGAGAGCTAAGCAATAGGTTATAAGTTTTGTAATGCCTTATAATTTTAAGAGTCTTCTCATTTTTAAGTAATTGTGAAGAAAACATATGTTTACCTTTTGCAATTATATTGGCAAGGTCATAAAATAAGTAGAATATTATAGTCTAAAGAGATGGTACATTATTTTTTAGAGATGAATTTATATAAAAAAAATGTAAAGATTTATTCTTTTCTAATATAAAGAGAAGTCTACTTTAGACCTTCATGGAGTTTCAGTGAACTGCCATTTTCTCCTCTATAACCAAGTGGTAACTTAACTTTTCCCATAATATTCCTATTATAAGCCCATATTGCAATCTCTATTATGTCATATTTAGTCATATGCCATTTTCTAAATAGCTTCTCATTCAGAAGCTATTATAAAAAGTCACTTGCACAATATTTGTCACCTCATCAAAAATCATAATGTAAACTTGTTTTGCATTTTAACCTTCATTCAACATATATGCATCACAACCTCATTGATTTCCACCAGAAAAAATTCATTGGTTATCAGCTTCAAAATCTGCCTATAATCGCTACTTTTTCTGCTAAAAAACCAAATTATCAACTGATTTCATCTGAATTTGATCAGCCAAAAAAGTCTTGTCAATAAATAATTAGTAACTAAAAAATAGTGGGCTAGTAATATTACCAGGTAATTTTCTAGTCATTAACTTTTCAAAAGTTAAATTTTCAACCACTAAATGTTTTAGATGAAACAAATGGAATTGTCCCACTGTTAGATAACTGTTGATTTTTTCAGCTGCTAAGAAATTAGCTGTTGAAATATCAGCTCGTGATAAGTCGTAAACATGTAAGAAAAATTTAAAAAATAAGACACATGGCACTAGAAATTTTACATACCTACAATCACACAATGAAATGAATAAACTTCACATCCACAACATCTCATAATAGCGTAAAAAACAAATTAAAAATAATCAAATTAAATAAATTTAAAATAAATATATATACTAGTACATCTCCACAAATTATCCAAAATAACAATATTTGTACAATAAATGAAAAAATTTCAAATGATTCTGATCTACATACAAATTAAAAACTAATTATCCTAGGATCATCATCCTCGTCCTCATCCTCCTCATCCACATTAGTAACAAGTGTCATTCCATGGAAATGTACCACGTGCTTCAAATCTTGAATGAATGCCTTGCACCTCTCAACTCTAACATCCCTAGTTAGGTTCATCTCCCCCATCTAGACTTCATATCACATTAATCAATATCATACTTGTCTTGCAAGCCCTTGATAAGTGCGGCAAAACACTTGGCTATTTTGTCATTAATTGATGATGACTCTAAACTTAAATGGAAGTGTTGTGCCTTATAAATGAATCCCTGGGCTTCGAAACCATACACCCTCTCCTTTCTCCTCCCTTTGGTTGCCCGCCTCTAGATCTCAAAGTTTGACTGGTCAGACGATGAACCACTATAATTAGTAAGTCCTAATGAGCTCTGACTCTTGACATCCTTTAGGTGCACATACACATCCTATAGAAGATTGTAAAACATAATTAGTAAGGAATAGATAAGATTATAAATAAATTTTATAATTCAAAAAATTTATTGAACTTATGTTGACACGAAGAGATTTGTTATCAACTAACTGTTGGTTCGACTACTTCCCATGTTTGTGTTTGCATAACTCAGTAGTGGGGGCTCCTATGTCAGTGACTGCCTTTATTAACACATAAAATGATTTGTATAAAAAATAAGTATAGATGAAATTGTACCACATTGAATAAAACTCATCATGTTCCTACTAGACTCGGTGTGGGAGATTGAGCCAACAGTTTAAGGTTCCCATGCCCCCGATTTGAGGTTTGGTTCTATCAAAGTGAGTGCTTATTTTAAGATATTCAAGAGAGGACCAAGCTCTAGACAGCTCTCTCGAAACCTCCTCCCCAATTATGGATAGCGGTGAACATATCTCGCTAGCAGTTTTACCCACAGTCCTTAAAGTTCTATTGCATCACCTTAAAAATTAAAAAAAAAACTCCTTTAGCAAAATAAAAATAAAAAAAATTATAATTATAAAAACAAATTAAAATGATAGATGTAATTCAAATTTAAATAATTTACCTTAAATTCCTAAAATCACATGTCTCAAAACTCTATCTTAATCTTCTTCCATGATAAATATGGAGCATCATACTGACAGTTGGTGGTCTTCATGATCCTATGGCAGACTACCTGGATGGATAAAATCTGAAAAAATTATTATTTATAAAAATAAAAAGATATAAATTAATATAACTTGAAAAATTCATGAATCTCCATTGAGCTATATGTGAAGGAGTTTAGACGCATTTTACAACATAGTGAGACAAACATGAGAAGCGGGGCCTACCTTAAAGGAGGTTAGAGTTGGTAGTGTATTAGTACCTACAAGGGTGGGAAAGACTTGCATAACTAGAGCCAGAGCTACTACATTGACAATCACTCGTGTTGCAGTCTTAGTGATGATCATCATGGTCATGTTTGAAAGTAGAGTAGAGCATGAAACCATCTACTTCTTCCTTAAATAGTAGGTAGAGACAACTGATTGACATGTCTAAAAATGTTTTACTTTTTTATATACATTTTATGCTCATTTTAATGATATTGCAATTTAATAGAAGTTATTTTGCATGTTTTTGGTTTCACGTACAAGAGATGGAGTTTTGGAGAAAAAGAAGCAAAAATGGAGTAAAATGGGGTCAACTGAAGAAAAGGAGAAAAAGATGAATTGTGCCTACGCCTAGGTGCCAGAATCTGTATGAGGAAATAGAGAGCCCGACTCCATGGTATCAGGATCTGGCAACTAAACGTCAGACAGTTATTTCAGGCTTCTATAATACTAGCGCCTAGGAACCAGGATTGATTTTTCTTAAAATTCAATCTATTTGGACAAATTTTGAAGGGACATTTGAAGTGAATCTTAGAAATTTTGAGGCTTGTCGACATTATTTTAGGGGGGTCGTTTTATGGAAGCTGTGGGTCGCTGGAATCAGAATCTCGTTGTCTGCTTCGGAGGGACATTTTAATTTACACACACACACACACACAGATATATATA